ATAATATATATATATATATATATATATATATATATATATATATATAGGGTTAACTAGTACATCACCGAATCACTAAATCATTTGACTTAGCTCATAAATAATATATTTCTACATATTTCATATACACTTGTTGAAAAAGATTTAAGCTTGGTAAAATTCACAAATTTTAGTTTAGGGATTTGAAAAGCATTTTATGTATTGTTTTAATGTACATTATAAATAATATTTATATATTATAGATGGGATTTCTTCTAATATATATATATATACATATATATATATATATATATCATGTTTGTGTTAATATGTCTAAATGACTTTTGGTGCAATGAGAAATTTCTAAACAAATCTAGTTTCTAGACAAAGATAATTAAAAAGTCCAAACACATACCTTCCGAAATCTGAACGCTTTCTCCTCCGGGTTTTCAGTTTTCAGGTTCGCCGTGGGTTTGAATTTATTAAACACCAGAAGAGATTTTCTCCAGTCCCTGACCAAAGATCCCCTCCTGAACCCCCGTAAAAACTCTGTAATGTCCTTGTGGATCCCTGACGACAAGCCTTCGAATAAATATCCCACTCTCTGCTGCTCTCTCTGCAGCTTCTTCGAAATCTTCTCTAAGTATCCATATCCATTACAATCATCCTGACACTTGCGTCCATTGCGAAATGACCCCACCTACAACAGCCCCTCCGATACTCAGAGTGGTTTCTCCATCACAAAACAGTTCTACAACCAGCCTGTTTTCTTTTAAAATACCGTTGAAAAGTATTTTGGTTTTTCCTTGGACTACACTCTGAGAGTATCTGGGTTCTTTGCTCCGTGGCGGAGTGCAGAGGCTGAGGTAATGGCTCTTGTGGGGTCGAACTGATGTTACATGAAAGCAATCACCCATACACAACCTTGTGTGTTTGCACAGTATTGATCCCAAAGTAGCCTTCAGCAATTATCTGCAAGTTGTAGTTTCGCTGAGGCTGAACACGAGATCAATAAAATCTGCTTAACACGAGCCAAACCTCTGGGAAACGAGGCAGACAAGGGAGATATATATATATATGTATATATTATAATTATATCCAAAAATAATTTAAAATTCAGGCGCCAGTCCATCTCATGACTCATCTCATTCCTATTTATGATCTACTTCTGCTCGTTTTTGACTGTATTAGAAGGAAACCCATATTGCGCCGTACCATAGTACCACACCATTGCACTGAACATTTTTGCAGTGTTTGGCTGAAATGTGAAATGATTGACCTAAAGGAAATGACGTCACCCTTTCGCAGGGGCTACACCCCACAGAAAAAATATAGAAAAAAAAATCACTCAGCAGATGGGCTATACAGTACTTGAGAAAGCTACAGATTGAAGGAACTAAAAAACGTAAAAGTATTACGTATTAAGTATTATCCATCCATCCATCCATCTGTCTGCCTGTCCATCCATCTATTCATCCAACCATCCATCTATCATTCTGCCCATCCATACATCCATCCATCCATCATTAAAAAACATCCACCCATCCGTCCATTAAAATCCATCCATCTATCCGTCCATCCATCCATCCATCCATCTGTCTGCCAATTCCATCCATCCATTCATCCATCCATTTATATCCATCCATCCCTCCATCTATCAGTCCATCCATCCACCCGTCCATTCATCCGTCCGTCCATCCATTCATCCATCCGTTCATCCATCCATCTATTGGTCCATCCATCCATCTATCCATCCATCTGTCTGTCTGCCCATCCATACGTCTATCCCTCCATCCATCCATCTATCAGTCTGCCCATCCATGCATCCATCCATCCATCATTAAAAACCATCCACCCATCCGTCCATTAAAATCCATCCATCCATCTCTCCGTCCACCCATCCATCCACTTAAATCCATCCAACCACCCATCTATCATTCTGCCCATCCATGCATCCATCATTAAAAACCATCCACCCATCCGTCCCTTAAAATCCATCCATCTATCCGTCCATCCATCCAACCATCTGTCTGCCAATTCCATCCATCCATCCATTCAAATCCATCCATCCCTTGACATTAAAAAAATGATGACTGCGATTTGAGTCTGAGTTTTCGTTCATCCATCCATTAAAATCCATCCATCTATTGGTCCATCCGTCCATCTATCCATCCATCTGTCTGTCTGCCCATCCATACGTCTAGCCCTCCATCCATCTCTCCGTCCACCCATCCATCCACTTAAATCCATCCGTCCGTCCATCTATCAGTCCATCAATCCATCATTCATCCATTCGTCCGTTTGTCCATTCATTCCAACCATAACTCTGCATTACCTTCAGGCTCATCAGATGAGTAAAGAGCTTTGTTTTAATATAGAGTTTGAATATTGTTTTTTTCTGTTTAAACAACAACAACAACAACAATAATAAAATGTATGTAAAGTATTTTGAACAATCAATTTAAATCTTTCATTTGCAACAGGATAATTTAAATTCAAAAAATGATTCAGAGCTACAAACAGGAAACACCTTGACATTAAAAAAATAGATGACTGCGATTTGAGTCTGAGTTTTCTTTTTTCTTTTTTTAAATATTAATATTGTTAAACTTAAATAATAGCATTATCATCAGTAACGTTTCATTATATCACGGCAACTACAATCTACACGGTACATTTAATACATGCAATAAGTTGTATACACCCGAAGATGGCGGTGTTGCTTCGTGACTAGATGTCTGCCTCGACTCAAATAGCTCATAATGCATTGGGACAATATTTTTAAATCTCTGTGGTGATCTTGATTCACCCTAAGATAAAAAGAAATACTCACCGAGTTCCGGGAGCTTCTTTTTTTATTTAGCTTTGCTACCGAAGTTACCCCCTCAACGTACTTGAACACAACATCGCACATTACAATTGGTTTGGAACATGGATGCATTTACGCCAAACATTCCAGGGCAAAAGATGTGGTACTGATACAGATACCAGAGGTGTGGACTCGACAAAATGTAAAGAGACTTGCCACTCGACTTGGACTTTAACATGAGTGACTCGTGACTTCACTTGGACTCGAGCCCTTTGACTTGACAAGACTTGATACTTTCTCCAAAACCCAAAGTGATCTGTGTAAATATATTGTTATTTTGTTTGAAAAGGACTAGAAAGGACTCGAAACAGAAACGGCAGGACTAGGGACTTGACACTTTTCAGGCTTGTCTTGGACTCGAGTCAGACTCGAGTCATCAATTTGATGACTTTAGACTCGACTCGACAAAATGTAAAGAGACTTGCCACTCGACTTGGACTTTAACATGAGTGACTCGTGACTTCACTTGGACTCGAGCCCTTTGACTCGACATGACTCGAGACCTTCTCCGAAAACCCAAAGTGATCTGTGTAAATATATTGTTATATTGTTTGAAAAGGACTAGAAAGGACTCGAAACAGAAAAGGCAGGACTAGGGGCTTGACTTGACACTTTTCAGTCTTGACTTGGACTCGACTCGGACTTTGCCTGTCTTGACTTGAGACTTGACTCAGACTTGAGTGCAAAGACTTGAGACTAACTTGTGACTTGCAAAGCAATGACTTGGTCCCACCTCTGACAGATACTATTACATCCCTGGTCAGAAGGTAAAAAAAAAACAAAAAACACTGACATAAACACACGCGAATTAGACATTAGCGATGCTAAGTTAAGATGCTTACAATTTGCCTGTGGTCTATTTCATTTGAACTCTTACAATGCACTTTATTTTAAGTTTTAAGTGCAGTGTTTCTCAATGATTTCCTGCGATGCACCCCAATCCCCTGATTAGTAAAATAGATACATAAAAATGTGCTACTCTTCTGCCATCTAGTGACTGGAGGCTTGTTTATCGTTCAAGGCCCGCCACCCTATTTGAGAACCACTGATCGAGTGAAACAATCATGGTTTTCCCCATACACAATAACTCTATTACAAGGGTGCAAGGTCTCTTAATCACTTCTTGGAGCTTTAATGAGAAACGTGTCTTTACCCAGTGATCCAGTTCAGTGTTGTGGGACTCATGTTACTGCAGCTTATTGCAGTGAAAATGCTGGTGCCCGAGGACCATTTTTTGTTCCTTTTCGTACTGTTCTTTGTTGGTTCCTAGTATTCCTAGTAGACTGTGTTTACTGTCAGTGCTGCCAACATCTGCCTTCTGTGTGAATCTGATATGGAGGTAAATATTTCTTAATCCACTGTTGAAGGGGCATTTAGTTACGTACAGCATCTGCTATAGCAGAGGTTCCCAAAGCAGGGGAGGTGCAGGTGGGAGAGCATGGCAGTTGTGTTATGGGTGTTTCACCAGACGGACGCAGGTGAGCTCATTCATGCTAACAATTCCTCTGCTTATATTAGTAGAAGCCGGGACCGAGGAGATGGAAGACTGCAGAGTAAGAACACAGTGGAGAGACACGAGACGCAGGAGTGCTGAGTGTAGCTGGCTCGGCATTAAGGTGTAGAGTCCCAGAGCAGCAGTTAACAATAAAGTAGGAACTGTATAATGTGACCAGTTTTGCTTATGACTGCTCGAAAAACGGAAGAATTAACCCTTGTGTTGTCCTTTGGGTCCAATTGACCCGGTCGCTGATAATATGCACGCACGCACACACACATTTCGCTTTTCCTCATACTCTGATATTCTGGGACAAGATGCAAACCCGTTGCGAGGACGCTGGGTGTGCGCAAAATGCGAGGGACAACACACCACCGTAATTTCTGGACTATAAGCCGATGCTTTTTTCATCTTCTTTGTGATCTGTAGTGAGAGTAGGCAGCAGCTAGACGAGAACCTAGAGAGGTGGAGGTTTGCACTAGAAAAGAAGAGGAATGAAGGGCGGTCGCAGCAAGACAGAGTACGTGAAGTTGCGGGAGGAAAGGTACTTAGGATCAACTGTTCAGAGCAGAGGAGACTGTGGAAGAGAGGTGAAGAATAGAGTGCAGGCAGGATGGAACAGCTGGAGAAAAGGGTCAGGAGTGATCTGTGATAGACGAGTGTCAGCTAAGGTGAAGGGAAAGGTTTACAGGACGGTGGTGAGCCCAGCCATGATGTATGGTTTAGAGACGGTAGCAATAGGCAGAAGACAGGAGATGGAGCTGGAGGTGGCAGAGTTAAAGATGCTAAGATTCTCTTTAGGAGTGACAAGAATGGACAGGATCAGGAATGAGGTCATTAGAGGGACAACACAGACAGGAAGGTTTGGAGAAAAAGCTAGAGAAGCCAGATTGAGATGGTTTGGACGTGCAGAGGAGGGACAGTGAATACATTGGTAGGAGAATGTTAGAGGTGGAGCTACGAGGTAGGAGACAAAGAGGAAGGAGAACAGGCAGATAGTTGGAGTCAGAGTAGTAGATGCAGAGAACAGGGAGAGATGGAAATCAATGAATCGCTGTGGCAACCCCTGAAAATGGGACAAAGCCGAAAGATAAAAAAGAAGAAAAGTGAAAAAAGAAATCTTTCTGTCTAGATATCCCATGTTACAACATGGTGGACACCTGCGGCTTATAGAGAAGTGCGGCCTATATATGTACAATTATTGTTTTCAGTTCAGTTGTGCTTAATAGTCCGGAAATTACGGTATATTTGATTCTATTACTTTGTAAATGACCAATTTCTTTGTCTTAATAAGTACGGAATTAATTTCCACACACAAAAATATGTATTCTTTTTCATAAAAGATCTGTACAATTTTAATTTGATCTAATAAATACAGAATTCATTTTCCACACACAAAAATATGTATTCTTTGTAGTGTTTGAGTCATTTTCTACGCTCGGGAGGAATAAGAAAGGAGATCGGTTGAACTAATAGTTGGTCTTTTAATTTCTTAAGAAACTGAACCGGTCTAAAACAGCAGATCTGTATTAGACAAGTATTAGTCTTTCTCTTATATGTTCCCTTTTTAAAAAACGTTTCCGAGAAATTTACTATAATATGACCAAAAAAAAAAAAACCCCACAAAAGAGTCATTTTTTAATTTTTTTCACACTTACTCTCCAGTTATCTGTGGAAATACAGAGGCAAGGCTTTGTTATTCCATAATACATTTAGCTTTACTACCAAAACAACATATAAAGCACCCAACAAATATTACCAAACAACAGCAAAAGCCTTCGTGTCAGAAACAATTTTTTTATAAACATTCACAGAGAAACCAGCTATCGCTGACAAAGATTGTACATTTATATGTTTTCTTCCACAAAAAAAAAATCCCTGCCCTTCAATGCATTTCTACCCCCTTATAAGTCATTGCCAATAAGAGATGACAATGACCCTTAAATACAATATGCACTACAGTTTGTTTAAAGCTTAACAATCATATCATGATCTGGAAGTCCAGTATAACGAAACCAATATTGACATGATTTTCATAACGGATACATTTTTCCAACGAGACTATAACTTTGTTTTACTCCTAAGAGGGAGACTAATGATATTTGACTTTTGAATGGTGCTGAAAATGTTTCTTTTAAATCGAATAATTTTGTTCTGTTTGAATAATTCATTTTTATCATAATATCATAAATCATAATATCATAAATCATAATATCATATATCATAAATTTATCATCTGTATTACCTTTTTCGGATTTTTGTTTACCATCAAGCTGCATAAGGAATGGACATTTAAATTAGAGCAAAGGTGTCAAACATATGGCCTGCGAGCCAAACTTGGCCCATTAGGGGCATGAATCTGTGCTTGATGAAAGAAAAAAAAAGTACATTTCATGTTCATGACACATTTTGTAAAATGATATTTAATTAAATATGAGGTTTGTCTAATATACTTGAACGTCTTCGCAGGAAAACATGGGAAGAAAAAGGGGGGGAAACATGTCCAGTACAAACTTAAGGCCTGTGGGCCCAAAACCAGCCCTTCCAGCCTGCTTGATGAATTTTGAAAATAAAAAAAATAAATACACAAACACTTCATGTTTAGGAAATGTTTTGTAAAATTATATTTCACTAAATATGAAGATTGATCTAATGTAGTTGCAGTTGTAGGACTCAAACTTTTTTTTTTTAGTGTAATAAGGTATTGCATTAAAAAAACAAAACAAAAAAAAAAAAAAACGAAAACCAAAAAGTATACAGTATTAACCATTGCTCCGTCTCCTTTCAGTGATAACGTCAACACTGGACACAACCAAACCACTGTTTGTTCATTATTATCTCACGTTTAAGCAGAGAAGCAACTGGAATCACAAAACGAGCAAGAGTTTCATTTTACATAAAAAAAAACAAAAAAAGAAAACGAGAAAATGCAAACACAGTGATTTAGTTGTGAATTAAGTAAACTGACTAATCTGCTGAATAACTAAAAGCTCTGTTTTACCTCACAATCACTTACCCCCAACACGAATGTTCTAAACATTAGCAAGTTCACGAACATTTGTGGAAAAAAAATTACTTATTTCTGATCTTCACTCTGATCTAAAATTAAATCTATTACCGTGAACAGAATAAAGACGTTTCGTAGGAAGGGGAAAAAAATATCAGTACCAAGGCAGCTACATTATTTGTTTTCTTGTTACATTTTGTTTTACAGCCGCTAATATAGCAAATTTACATTTATATCTATTGTAAGCAGCACAAACAGCCTTTCATTTCTAACAAGCTGGTGTGATTGGCTGTTTAACGGAAAACAAAAAAAGGTGGCCCTCTTTCAGGGCAGCTCTTGAAATGCGAGAATTCTGTCGTAAGAAAACACAATTCAATTAACTGACCAAAAAAAAAAAACCTCTTTAATTGTGCTTAACCTATGAAGTCTGTTTCACCACACTACAGAGAAGGGGGGGCCTCTTTCGAGGCACCACTTGAAATGCTAACATCCGTCGTGAGAAAAGAATTCTGTCGTAAGAAAACGAGAATTCAATTAACTGACAAAAAAACCCCAAAAAACTCTTTAATTGTGCTTCGATTATGAAGACTGCTTCAACACAGAGAAGGGGTCCATCTTTCGAGGCTCCTCTCGAAATGCTAACGTCCGTCCGTAAGAACCCCTTAAGCAATCACAAGGACTTAAAAGCCATCCATCCATCCATCATCAACCGCTTAGCCGGGGCTGGGTCGCGGGGGCAACAGTCTGAGCAGGGACACCCAGACTTCCCTCTCCCTCGACACTTCCTCTAGCTCTTCTGGGGGGACCCCCAGGCGCCTGCAGGGCCAGCCGAGCGACTTGGTCGCTCCAGCGTGTCCTAGGTCTTCCCCTAGGTCTCCTCCCAGAGGGACGGCACCCGAACACCTCCCGAGGGAGGCGTCCGGGGGGCATGCGATGTAAATGCCCAAGCCACCTCAGCTGACTCCTCTCGATGTGGAGAAGCAGCGGCTCTACTTCGAGCTCCTCTCGTGTGACAGAGCTCCTCAACCCTATCTCTAAGGGAGCGCTCTGCCCCCCTGCGGAGAAAGCTCATTTCAGCCGCTTGTATCCGGGATCTCGTTCCTTCGGTCATGACCCAAAGCTCATGACCATAGGTGAGGGTAGGAGCGTAGATCGACCGGTAAATCGAGAGCTTCGCCTTTCGGCTCAGCTCCTTCTTCACCACAGCGGACCGATACAGCGACCGCTTTGCACCCTTCGGGTTGCGGAGGAAGTCCTGCCTCAGGTGGAGGAGTTTAAGTATCTTGGGGTCTTGTTCACGAGTGAGGGTAGGATGGACTTAAAAGCACAACATAATAAATATAGTATACCTTTATACAGTATCTTATGGTGGATGTAAATACTCGTCCACTTTATTTGAAGCCATGTTTCTTCACTTGAAAAAAAAAAAATGTTTAAGTGTGAAAGACCCCTCCCCTTTTAATGCTTAAAGCCCTTACAGTGCTCTAGGAGAAAAGTCTTTTTGTTTGTTTATACCTAAGATGTGGATGATTCAGGAAGCCCGTGCTTAAAAGCATTAAGAGTCTCTTTGTGTTTGTTTTTTTTCCCCCCTTTTTCTTCCACTCTGTAATTAAACAGTTACCTCATTTTTACTGGCAGTGCGAAGTGTGTGGTGGTGGCCCCCGACGTACTGTAGGGGGTCCATAGTGTGTGTTCGTCGGGATGCAAAAGCCTGCCTCTTGGACGCAGATGAAGACGGCTGGTGGTTGATCGTCAAAGTGTTGTAAGAGTCAGCGGAGGCATTGTGTTGCGGGTGCAGCTTGCTGACTTTATGGCGCTCCATTATGGGCGTGGTTGGCATTAGCATGTCTGCGTGAGACATGGCCCGTGCCATGGCCCTCTCGCGGAATTTGTCACGTCTCATTGCTGGCGACAGCAAGGGATCTTGCGAAAGGAGGCGGCTGGTGGACAACAGGTGTTCCTCTGAGAGATGGCGGCTGCTCCCGTAGGCAGCCGCTGCCATGACGCCATAAGATGACAGACCGTAATCCCCCCGTCGTGGTGTCCTGGGAGGAGACAGGACATGGTCTTGGGACATGGCTCTCTGGACTCGATGTGGACGCTGACGATGCTCGTGGGGATGATGATGCAGATGATCTGCATTTAACTTCATCACGTTGCCTGGTCCCCGGCCTCCAAAGTCAGCATGATGATGTTTTCTCATGTAGTATTTATCCATGTCCTTATTAACTGGGTGAGAAAGGACATGAAAAGTTTCTACATAAGAACATTGACATTAGGAGACAATCATCTTTAGATGAGGTAGTGTGGATGTAGGATCGGTAACTTGTGTAGTAACATCCTCTGCTCTTCGTTCTAAGCTGGAACAGTGTTTGGATATTAATGGCAAAATCGAGCCACGTTCCTGTGTGAACCAAAATCTAACCTGAGCGCGTGGACAATTTGATGTACCCTAATGTCATTCAATGGGAGTTTCGTTTGATGACGAAATCGTTTAAACGAAGTCTTCGGAACATAACTCTGTCTTTAAGTGAGGACCAGCTGCATGTATCTCTTCACACTGTGTCTTTTTATTAACATAAATTTTAATAATTTTTATAAAATTAATTTGCCCAGTTACGAGTAAAGAGACACTTCAGGACATATCCTTCCTGCTCTGCCTCTGACAGATGAGTAGAATGTAATTTAACAATTGATATGTTATTTATATTTCTACTTGTTATTCCAGGCTGGTTACTGTGTTTTGAACTTTGGACCGTAACTGTTGTATTTCGGAGTTGATTTGCATTTGCAAGTCCTCAAAGGCCGAAAGGCATCTTCATGGGGGTAGAGCTCAGTGGTAGAGCATTTGACTGCAAATCAAGAGGGCTCCCTGGTTCAAATCTGGATGCCCCCTGCCTTACTTCCTGTACTCTAACACCTACACTCAATCTATTACGCAGTAATATTGAAGTAAAGATCGCCCCCTACTGTTCATGTCCATACCAAGGTTGTGAAAAACCAGGGTGCCGTTATCGATGACCAGCTATCCTTTTCTGACCGTATCGCCTCTGTTTCACAACCTTGTCACTTTGCACTCAAAATCCGACCCTGCTTGATTCAACGTGCCACCCAAGCCTGTTACTACAGGCTTCAGTCATGTCACGACTAAATTACTCCAATGCCCTTCAATCAGGTTTACCAACTTGCTCAACAAGACAACCTACAAATGTTACTCCTCTGCTCATCGATCTACACTGGTTGCTGGATGCTGCAAGGATCAAACAAAAAGTCACTGACTCTTGCTTATAAAAGAACTGCAGGAAGCGCATGTTTACGGGGGTATAGATCAAGAGGTCTCTGGTTCAAATCCGGATGCCCCCTGCCTTCCTTTTCGCACCCCAACACCTACGTTCACTCGCCCAGGCAACTTTGTACTCCAACACCTACACTTCCTCTCCTAGGCAACTATGGATCCTCTACAGTTTGCATATTGCCCATCAACTGGGTAACTCATCTACCTTCTGCACTGGTCCTGGTCACAACTGGAGACTGCAGGATGTGCTGTGAGAGTCATGACTGGTCTACAAACACTAGTGTCCTGACCGAGGTCTTCGCCGTGTGCAGGACACTCCTAAGAACCTTGTATGAAACTGTGGTGGCATCTGCACTATCTACGCCACCTTCTGTTGGAGGAGTGCTTTAACGTCTAGAGACGGAAAATTGTCTGGAGAAACTGGTTAAGAGAGCCAGCCCAGTCACAGTCTTTTAGAGTCTCTGAAAGATGTGGGAGAGAAGAGGAATTTAGCCGAGCTAAAATCCATTATGGACAAGCCTTCTCACCCTCTGGATGACACGGCGGGAGCGCTGAGCAGCTCTTTCAGCAACTTCAGTGCAGAACGGAACGCTTCCAGGAAGTCTTTCCTCCCATCAGTCTTCAGACTATTCAATTCACAGCTATAATATTGTCATACTCTATCAAATTTTTCTGCTCATATTGTACTTATATCAAGCCTCCAACTGTGTATAGCTACACTGTGACTTGTTTCTATATATTTTTTTTATTTTGTTTTTTCTTCTCTTCTATGTGCGCTATAAGTTAAATCACTTTATTCCTTGCTGGAAATTGCCACTTTATTTGATATACACCTGCTGATACTGTTATTACTTCGTGTCTATCTTGCTGCTGTAACAAATTAACCTTCCCGATGTGGGATGAAAAAAGTCTTATCTTGTCTTTTAAATAAAGCATTACACTTCTCTTCTGTCGAAAATATTCTTTTCGTAATGAAATTCAACGCATTAAAAAAACCTTACTTTTTTTCTAGCTAGCATGTTGACCTGGCTCACTTCTCCATATGTTACAGGACTGCAAGATTTAGTCATCGTCCGTTATCTACTGCTCATTCTTTTTTGAAGGGTCACAATCCGAAATTTTGGACAGTTTGGTTTATTTATACTACTTTACACACACCTGGGCTTTTGCTAGTTTTCAGCCTTTACCTTGCGTACTACTTTTTGCTAGTTTTCAGCCTTTACCTTGCATACAACCACAGACGACTTCAATGCTAACATTATATGTTATATATTAGCTGAATTCAAGTATAATTTCTGGTGGATGTGGAGTTTGTTTGTTTATGCCAAAAATGTTTTGCTGAGTGACTCTCTTTATGGCCAATCAGTATAAGAAGACAATAGTAATACGTTGTTTTGCTGTAAGCAAGAAAGCAAAACGAAGCTTCTTGTTAAACTAGAGTCTCATAGCGTTATTTTTTGTCTCCCACACAAACCAAACTATGTTGCATCTCGTCTGTTCTACTTTTCACTCTCTCACTTTTGCAATTGGAGCATATCATGCGTAGCACTGCTAACTTACATTACACAGTGCTGCTCTCAGAATGACAACACATGTATAAAGCTTTTAGATCCTTGAGTGTGAAGTGCACTCCGAAACCTGCAACTCCCAGAGTAGTTGCACTACATGTTTTAGTGCATAAATAAAGTAGGGGGAGATACATATTTTCTGGCATGACCTAATTTAGGCACTGTTAATTGAAAAAAATGAAAATAAAAATTGACATTCGAGGAGACAGGATTCGAAGTAGGAGGAAAGAAAATACATAGTAAAATGCCAGAAGTAAGTTATTAATCAGTTATTTAGTTGAGAGAACAGTAATCAGTATCTCTACTAAAACAATGAATGTGACCTAGTTATACGATCAAAACAAGGCACTTGGCAAATTCTGGACAATTTCACATATTTCATTTTTTTTCATCATTTTTCAATGAATTCTTTGCAGGGTCACAAAGCTAGTCCCGGTGATGAGGGCACGGACAAATAATCATTCGCACTTACTATTCATAACTATGGTCAATTCAGAGTGTCCAATCTTAACCTTCCAAGATTTGTCTCTATGTAGAAAAAAAAAATCTGAAATTTTCAATGATCAAATGACAATAGCATGGTAATAGTGTAAGACTTTATGTACTTAAAACTTGCTTTTTTGTGCTGGTGTGATGAAAAATTGACAGAGGTCAGGCACGAGACTCTATGGAGTACGTAACGTGGTGAGCTAAGGGAACTGGCGGAAGAAAAGGAGTGAAGGTCAGGAGGAGCCAGACAGAGAAAATGTGTAAAGTGTACTAATGGTGGAGACCCAGGGTCAGCCATGCAGAAAAATGGACGGTGCAAAAAAAAAAAAAAGAAAAGAAAAAAAGAATGGGGCAGGCAGGGTGGAATGGGTGGATTTGAGACAGATGGTCATGTAATGTCTAATATCTCACAAACAACATCTGCATTAATTAAAGCCTTCACTTCAACATCCATAGACACAGGCTTCCACAGTGTTGTTTTCTTTATCCTTACTGTTGCAAAACAAAACAGGCCAGAATAGTCACTATTCAAGTTGAAAGGGAAGATTTAGAAGAGACAGCGGCTCTGTCCAACAGACAAAAGATAAAGACGCTGAGACACTGGGAGTGACCAGGATGGACAAGATTTGAAATGGGCAGAACAGCATGACAGTAGGTGAAGGGTGGTAAGTGAAGAATAATGGAAATATATATTGGTGAATATATTAGTGAATATATTGGACAAACGATGTTGGAGATGGAGTTGGAAGGCTAGTTGGAAGGTTAGCTTGCTCTAGGTCAGAGGTTCCCAAATCGGGGGGGTTGCCCCCTAAGGATTGGTTGAAGGCAGTGTAAAATGAATATATGTCTGATAATAATTTTGCGTTATTTTTAATTCTCAATCCTGTTTTTTGCCTGTATCCGTTCGATCTACTCGGGGCAGCAGTAGCAGTACCCCGCGCAGTGTGCCCCCCAAACACAAGCTCACTTCTGCCAACTGACCAAAAGTTGACAATGCTAGGATAAAATGGACAAGATTAAAGTGCGTAAAAACAGTTACATTATAATGTATGAAATAAACAAGTCTAAAAACAAAATATATGTTTGAAGCTTTTTTTGGGTCGGAGTGCAAAAATGTTCTGCTCTACGCCATACAGGTATTGAAGAGTGTGAATGATTGTTTGTCTGTACTGAGTGGCCTTGTAAGAGGCTAAGTGCCTGTTTTTTTTACCAAAGTCTGGAAGAAACATCTTGGCCTAATGGAGTGGTTTACGTCTATACGATACAATGCAATCACAAGACATATTTCAAATGAAACAGTTGTCATTGTAAAGCCTATTAAATTACTCCGAGAATTGTCTGCCAGAAATAATGAATAAAAAGTTTCATTCAGGCAACTTATAATACATGGGCTGATATTTGATTTGATTTGTATAGATACTGTATACTTTGTCCTATCACCTGTTCTAATAATCCTCCTGCAATTCATTTCAGTTGGGTCAGTTTTTCAGGTGTCTGTAGAGAAAATAAGTAGAAGCTGCATTTACCTAAATCAGGCTTAAGGGCCAGTTCATAGGAGGGTGGTAGGTGGCTTAGATTCTGGAAGGATTTGGAGAGTGAGGCATCGTAGGGCTCAGTCGCTGAGGTCAGAATCTTGTTCTTCCGCTGGGGTCTCTCTACGGAAATTCAAAAAAAGAATCGTTGCAGACTTGACAGTACATGGCAAAGACTTGAAAATTAATGTATGTTAATAATTATAAGGTCTTGTATTTCATCTGAAGGATGAATCTAGGATCTAGGAACTTACTATTAGTTCTAACTTTAATTACTACTTTTTTTACTAGAGTATTATAGGTTCAAGTTGAATTCCTGTGTAAGTCTATGTCTTTCCCTCTGGCACTCGCCATGACATAAACAGAGAAAAACAGTAGTTAAAAGCATGTTGTTCTCTCTGTTAAACATAAATTAAAAAATCATGTATCATGTATTTGCAGGCCTGTTTCAACAATTGCATAATGCGCTTTATCATGTATTTACAGGCCTGTTTCAACAATTGCATAATGCAAATGCAAATAAGAAAGTTTGCTTTAAAAAAAAAAGGTAACATTTCTCTATATAGGTAGTCATTGAGACACATGGGAAACAGAGTACCATATTTTCCGGACTATAAGTCGCACCAGCCCCCCTCTCCCCATCCCCCCAAAAAGTGCCCTATAGCGGTTGTCAGTATAAAAATAACAAACTTCAAATTTTCAGTGGTACAGGAGTAGCAGATACTGGTACACTAGCCTAGAGTGCCCTCTAGCGGCTGTGAAATTAAATATTTTAATATATAAGTCGCACCCGAGTATAAGTCGCAAACCCAGCCAAAGGATGAAATAAAGTGCGACTTATAGTCCGAAAAATAGTCAAAGAGGTTAAAGACAATTTTTTGTCTACTATTCTGTTCCAAAGGCCAGAATAGTAAAGTTCCTTTTGCCAAGCCATGTGTGGAGGTAATACAATTCTAGAAGTACAGGTTAGAAGTACATATTTGAGGGCAGCAATCCAAGTACTTCTTACCCAGTGTAGCTGTGAGGGCAGTTAAATCCAGATGACTGCGCTGATAGTCACTGCGGTGCATTCCTATAGAGAGAAAAAAAAAGGGAAATGATTCAGAATTTCATCCGAAATAGACACTTGAAAATATACCTGCTAGATTATTTGTGAAATATCTATTACCATTTTTGTTTTATTTAGAATCATGTGAAGTCAAGTGTGTCATTTAACTTCCAAAGTTGACAAAGATAGCCTCATGATGTCTTTTTTTTTTTTTTTTTCACAGCCTCATGATGACGTCTTTTTTTTTTTTACAACTTCACACCCATTAACAAAAAGCTTCCTAAAGTTTATTGAGACAAATGTGTTTTGTTAATTTGGGCCATCCACATAAAATGAACTTGACTTTGTTTAACAATCTCCGCTTAACAAGTTGAGCTGACCACGTATTAACTTGAGTATTATACGGAGTGATTCAATTGAATATAAAATTAATTGAACGTTTCCAGGTTGCAGCAGGTGGACGGAGGGAGACCCCACTGTGACCTAGATCCATTTTTAAAAGCTTCACACAGGGGAACATAATGGACAGATGCTTGTGACAGAGAGAGTCTGTGTTTAGTCATTTGGCTGACGGCGTGTTAAAGTACCATGTGAATCTGGTTGGGCCAGATTTTGCCCTTTTTTAAACAAAAACGTTTGGCAGAGAGTACTGTAGACTAAGAGCAGGGGAGACACAAACAGAAACATGTTGCTTTTTAAAAAAGTATAAAGTAGCAATTACCAGAGGTGGGACCAGGTCGTTGCTTTGCAAGTCACGAGTAAGTCTCAAGTCTTTGCACTCAAGTCTGAGTCAAGTCTCAAGTCAAGACAAGATCAGGACAGGTTGACCGCATCGTAGTTTTTAAATCCGAACAACACGATCTTTGGTATCGTTTCCTCTCACCCGTGCATTGTTTGACATCAAATTGATGACTTGAGTCTGAGTCAAGTCCAAGTCATGCGACTCGAGTCCACACCTCTGGCAATTACCATAACGTTACCATAACAAACAAATTACTGTCATCCTGCTGCTGCTATTTGCTTGCAGAAAGAAATAAAATGCACATACTATAGCTGTGTAGTAACAAATTATATTTAACATGCCATATGGAATGATAACAAGCCTCCAGCCACTAGGTGGCAGCAACTCATACAGTAGGTTGTACAGATAAGAATATACATGTTATCAGGTTTTCAATAGTATTTCAATTTGCAGGGTGTGTGGGCCGGAGGGGGGTGCGTGAAAACATTTCTGTCCACAAGGGGGGGCATGACAGAAAATAATGGAGAACCACTGCATTAATGGTAGCAGTGAAACTATTTACATTAGATTGTGTAAAAATACAGTCATGTAAAATGTTATTCTATGTCATTAAAAATACATATTAAAGTCGTTAAATTGCAACTATTCGTCATGTTTTTTATTGGGTTTAAAAAAAAAAGGTCCACCATTTGGTGATGCATTAACTTATTAATGAATATGTAAATTTGAAATGGCTGTCTATTCAATTGTCCTAACTTCTTCTTATAAGTAACAAAGGGGTTCCAAAGTGTTAAATTGAATTATTTAAATACAAATTGATGTAGTTCAGAGTTATCCCATCCAAAAAGTAAACTCAGCTGCGCTTCAGTTTTGGTCACTCAACAGATTTTTTTTTTTCTGAGTATGAAAAAATTAACTTTTTAAGGGCAATAATGCAAAGACACACTATCACATATTTCTCACATTTTCTCATAGCGTAACATTTGTTTTGCAACCGAATCACGCTTCTTCTTCGTGGAACCTTTCCTTGTTGTCTTCCATCCACACAAATTCAGTACGTCACGTCCTTCGTTTGAACAAAAACTTTGTAACCAAGAGAAAGGTGGCATTAAATCTGTTTCAAGTGAACCAAATCTACATTTATTTTTTTTCCTGACATCACCTTGGGCTCACAAATGTTTGTAACGGAACATTCTTATGGCTAAATACCAATAACATTGAAACTCCGTGGCAGGCATCTTCTTGAGGAAACACAGCTTCTCGATGTCTGTGAATAACTAACAAGGATAAGCACAGATTTATCTGATGTCTTCTTCATATGTCAGAAGTTACATCACACAAAGCTGCCATTATCCTTGCCATGTGATGGAGCACTGAATGAACCACAAAGCTGAAAACAGATAAATCCAAGTTAAAAAGCAATTGTATAACACTAAAGGATCATTTATTCACTGAAGATGATAATGTATTTCGCCCGGTTAGCGGTAAAACCTGTTATGCGAAAACCCGTAAAGAATGTTTTATATGAGCTGTTTTACACTGATCCATGTAAAAACGTTTATTTCTTAGGATATCTGGCAAGAGTATATTTTTTTTAAGTTATAAAATAAAAGCCTTCGGCCTTAGGTCAACGCAGTGGTTCTCAATGACTTTCTGGCATGCCCCCTGTTGGGGACAGAAATGTTTTCACGAGAACATCAACATCAGTCAGCAGAGTTTCATTCATGTAACATGAATTGTCTCCGTACTTCCCTCACCCCCTCATAATGTTTCTATCCTGGTTTACAACCTGGTTTTATGTCACATATCGTTTGAATTATTGCAACTCTCTTCTATCCAGTCTCCCAAAAAAAGTCCGTCCAGAAATGTCAAGTGGTCCAGGAAAACCCCTGATTTACCAACTTACTAACCCTGCTCTGTAACAGCTCAACTGGATAGTGGTCAGGTTTCATTTTCTGTCCAAAAATCCTTCTCACATTAAAGACCATAATGTCACCCGAATATTTCAGGTTTGAAACTTAGTACCACCAACATACATAAACATATTTTTCAAACCAAACCCAACTTAGATTTGCTTATTGTTTTTTGTTGTTTGTTTTGTAATTTTTTTTTAACTTCTTTATCATCATTATCATTTTTAATACAGCAGTGGAATATCAGAGTCACATTTGCAATCAGTAGTAAAACCATGGTTGGTAACTGCTGTCTCCAAACTACCTGCTGGGTTTGACTTTTAGAAGAGAACAAATTTGTTCCTTTTATATACACACAGTGTTCCCTCTCTATGTGATGGTCCTCCTTTCTCTCCCTCAGTCGCAGATTGTTTTTTTAATCCGATCTCGCAAACATTTTCCGCTATATCGCGAACTAAAATACACTATAAAAATAACTATACATACAAAAGGTTTGGCTTTACAAATGCGCACCCTCGTTTTTGAAATTGAGATAAGCACATTTGCAAATCGTTCACTGGTATCTTTGGTTACATGGGGTAGTGTGTTTTGTTCCTTGTGTTGGAGCCCCGACCGGTTAAGTTCAGTGCTGGTCAAGTTCTGCTCTACTTCGCATATTTTCCCTTTTCGCGGTGGGTCCTAGAACGCAACTCCCGCGATATTGCATATTTTCCCTTTTCGCGGTGGGTCCTAGAACGCAACTCCCGCGATAGGAAAGGGACTACTGTATTTTAGTCGGGATCTACAAATGACTTACACTAAATTAATCTGTTGATAATCTTTTTTTTATTATCCGTCACTAATAGAAACAAACAAGAGTGTTTGCCCAACGGGGAGAGACTAGTGAAGGAAATGGACATGCTGGTGAAGGGAACAGAGATGTAGGTCACTTCCCAAACTTTTTTTGGCTTGTGATCCCATTTTGACATTGCATGTTTTTGGTGACCCCAGAGACATTTTAGTAGCTGGCACTTGAACTGGATTTATATTCATAAACGTGAAAGTATACAGTTGTTTAACCCTCCCATTGTCCTTCGTATTTTGTACACATCTAGCATCCTCACAACGGGTTTCCATCTTGTCCCAGAAACAGAGTATGATCACCGATCACCTGGACCCAAAGGACAACATGAGGGTTAAGATTGAGTGACAAGTTTTAAAAGAATAATAATTGGTTATAAATATTTTCATCAGCAGTTTTTTGTAATCAATTGCAAGATATTTCACATGGATTCCCGACTTTTAAAAAAAACAGTGATGTAGATAGAAATGGTGTGAAAGATATACAGGACAGATGATTATTGTCTTTGCATAAATTACAGAAATGGCTGTTGACATACTGGTTTTGGAAAGCAGGAGGAAGATGAGTGGCAGAAATGAAAATACTGAGATTTTCACTAGTAGTGATCGGGATGGGAAGGATCAGACATGATCAGAGATCACATTTTGTCGTGTGCAGCGGTGTGCTGTGTCACAGTGACAAGTAGTTCACCTTCCCTTTCCTTTCCTTTCTTTTCCAAAGGAGATCCAAGTAGGCCTGAGACAATATCCAAAAATAGTTACATTGAGGGCAACTGGACAGAGTAGGTTTCTTGAAGACGTTTCACCTCTCGTCCAAGAGAGGCGAGGTCTTGGACGAGAGGTGAAATGTCTTCAAGAATGTCCATCCAGTTGCCCTCAATGTAACTATATTTTTTAGATAAGATTGACCTGGATGACTAAGAACCTACACAGACCTGAGACAATAACACATTTTTCTGGACGATATATTGTCCCAAAATGATTGCTAATAAATGATGATATTGTCAACATTATTTTGAGAATTAACCCATAGTATATATCATATTCAAGTACACCTTTTCAAATGCAGAAAGAGTGGATGACTGACAAGAGGGTTCATTCCGACATACAAATATCAGAAGAGTCTAACTTACACTTGGGAGCCATAATGAAGGGCGAACAGTTCCCATTAAAACAACACAAACGAATGTAGTACAATCTAACGTATGGTGTACAACCGGTGAATGTAAATAAAGCTGTCTTTTGCATGATGACACATTCATCTACTCCGCTCGCTGACCTATTCCCATTGTTGTTGTAACGCTGTACGTCACAATGATGGAACAAGACATAGCTCTTAATGAATTCATAACCACGAAACGCTGCTCGAGGATGTCGTAAACCAAGGACACGCTGTAGTCTACATGTACTATTTCAGTTTTTCTCTGTCTCGGTTAACTATACACTGTGTATAGAGTCTGTTTACTGTGTTCATGGACAAACAGAGAACATTGAAATGTCATCGATAACTGCCGCCTGCGAAAATCTTT